AAGCAAGTCACAAAGTTCCATGAAAGTGCCCTTACGCATGCGAAAGTTTCGCAGCCACTGGGCATCGTCCCAGACCTGCAACACGATGCGGTCCCACCAGTCTGTGCTTGTTTCCCGGGCCCAGAATCGGCGGTCCACGGCATGAACCTGCCCCAGTAACACCATGATTTCCACATTGCTCGGGCCTGTGCCTTGTGAGAGGTCCATGTCAATTTCCTCATCACTATCGTCGCCGCGCTGCAATCGCCTCCTCCTCAGCTGGTCCTGGTTTTGCTTTGGCATGTCCAGGAGGCTCTGCATATACTCCAGGACAATGCGCGTGGTGTTCATAGTGCTCATAATTGCCGCGGTGATCTGAGCGGGCTCCATGATCCCAGTGCTGGCTATGGCGTCTGGTCTGAAAAAAGGCGCGAAAGTAGTATCTGACGGACCAGGGGAAGAAGGGAGGGAGGGAGGGAGGGAGGGGCGAGTGACGACATGGCGTACAGGTACAGGGAATTAAAATCAAGAAAGGTGGCTTTGCATCAGGGAGAAACACAAACAACTGTCACACAGAATGGCCCCCCCCAAAGATTGAACTCAAAAGCCTGGGTTTAGCAGGAGGGAGGGGGGAAGCAAATGAATACAGAATAAATCTATTTTTTACATCTTAAGACGACAGTGCAGCATGACTGATAGCCCTCGGCATTGTCTGGGTGCTTGGTAGCAATGTAACCCTACGTGTGCCAGCCACATGTCTGCCAGCACCCAGATCGCCCTCGGCCTTTTCTGGGTGCTTAGCAGACAATACTTGGCAGAAAATAGTATACTACGACTGGTAGCCATCATCGTCCAACGAGGACGGTTAAAGGCAAGGGGTTGCTGCTGTGTAGCAATATATGCTGTACAGTAGCCAGAAGGATCGGTAAAGGCGCTCAGGCTACAATAATCTATGAGCATTTCAGGCAACATGTCCGACGAGGACGGTTACCAGTCGTAATAAACCATCTACTGCCAAAAGGCAAGGGGCTGGTGCAATGCAGCCCTACGGCTGCCAACCCCACAGCTACCAGCATCCCGATCGCCGATGAAGGCTACCAGTCATGCTGCACCGTCTACCGCCAAAAGGCAGTAAGCTGCTGCTGCTGTTTAGCAATGCAGTCCCACGTTTGCCGGCACCCGGAAGACATATGGTGACGGTGAGCTGAGCTGAGCGGGCTCAATGCTTGGCGTGGTATGTTGTCTGCACTGGTAACCCAGGTAAAAAGGCGCGAATCTATTGTCTGCCGTTGCTGTGACGGCGGGGGAGGGGCCTGACGCAATGTACCCAGAACCCCCCGCGGCACTGCTTTGCATCATTCGGGCATTGCTATCTCAACCCATAATTCCAATGGGCGCCGGAGACTCCGGGAACTGTGGGATAGGTACCATAGTGCAATGCGCCGGAAGTCAATGCTAGCCTCGGTACTGTGGACGCGGTCCGCCGACTTCATGCACTTAGAGCATTTTATGTAGGGACACACACAATCGGCTGCATACAACCGGTTTCTATAAAACCGGCTTCTATAAATCCGACCTAATTTTGTAGTGTAGACATACCCATAGTGGCCAAGGAGGATTGGGTGTAAAGGTCTCTCCTACAGCCAGAAAGGGTCACTGATACACCTTCCTTTTAGTAAGGGCTTCTGAACTGATGAGCTCAAGAAGGACTCTCTCATTGGCCCCCTTTTTTTTTTTTTTTTAAGTTTAAATAAAAATATTAAGAAGGTAGGCTAGGTCTGCACCAGAGAAGGGATTCCTAGCCCAGTCTCACTCGGAGCTGAGCGAAATTAAAGAGAAGATGCTTTGCTCTTTTGAATAGTGACTCGGTTTGTCTCTTGTCAAGGAGAGGGCTGCAGGTTTGTTGTGGATACGCTGTTTTTCCTGTTTTGTCCATGACTTGTCTTTGTCTCTGTGACTCACCCTGCAGCAATTGCTCCTGTCCCACAGGGCTGGACCTGGCTCTTCACTCTGTGTATGGTGACCTGGTGTGCAGGATCACAGCACCGCTCATGTTTGGCCCATCATCATGACGAGGGGGCAGCCAGGCCAAACTTGAGTGGTGCTGTGACTCTGTGTGCCAAGTCACCATGCTCAGAGTGGGGAGCCGCCCCTGCAGGGTGAGTGCAGGATGGGCTTGCTCTTCAGCCCCCTTGCTGCGACCCCTCCTTATCAATCACAGCATTTTCTATTAAAAATCCCCAAATCCGTGATTTTTACTAAATTTACCATGACTGCTTTGTAATTTTTGATTAAAAAAATGCTGTGACAAATCAGCAGCCCTAATCATGGAGTAGTGCTGAGAAGGTGCAAATAGAGAACTGCTCCACAGGAAGGATGATGACTGCAGCAGGGGACTTCCTGGTATATCCTAAAGGTGGTCACCTACTGGGGAGGAAAAACTTTCCAAAATCATGTAAAAGTATCTTGCTGAGCAGCCAGGTACTATGCACGTACAAAGAGATCAGGTGTGATTCACTGATGGATTGGTTCGTACTTCAGTCTCCCGTCAGCAGTGTCAGTAGGGGGTTCTCCAGACTTGTCTGTCTAACTCTTCTCAATTTGTTGGATTTTCTGTTTCAGGGACACATCTGGCCAGGGGAGGTTCTGCACCATTTTCAGATCCTACTCCAGAGGCGCTCAGGTAAGCACTACCAGCATTGCTACGCTGGACTGGGCCTGCTCACCATCAAAGTTCTCCAGACTAATGGGAAGCAAGTTAATGCCCAACAGCACCATCCAGCATCTCGTGTTTCCCTTCCAATGTCCTGGCCCTGCCCTTCTGATCAGCATATGTACAAATGGGGGTGTCACAGGGCGGGACTCATCAGTGCGGCGCCTCCTGCTGGTTGTCCAGGGAATTAAGATTTCCAGCCTCCGGAGTGCCCTCTGCAGGCCGGTGTCCCACTTGCCACTGGGCCCGAGTCCCTCCTGGACCCCAGTGCCCCTTTCAGGCCAGGGTTGGCAGTAGCCCCACAGATCTAGGTCTCCCCTCCCCGGGGAACCCCCATCCTCTGTCCCCACCTCGCCTCAGACTATGGCTACTGCCAGTCTCGATTTAGCCCCCGTTCACTGGGGCAGACTGCAGTGTAAATGCCACTCATCACCGGCAAGGGGAGTTTGGACCTGCTGCCTCTGCCTACCCTTGGGCTGCCCCTCTGCAACTCCAGTACCCTTTCCGGCCTTTAACAAGGCCTGCAGCCTGGGGGGTTTCCAGGCTGGAGCTCTCCCAGCTCCTCTAGCCTTTCCCCAGCCCTGCTCCACTTTAGGTACTCTTTCTCAGCTCCCAGGGAGCCAGGCCCTCCTCTCTCAGCAAGCTAGAGAGAGACTGTCTGCTCCTGGCCCACTGCCCTCTTATAAGGGCCAGCTGAGCCCTGATTGGGGTGTGGCCACAGCTGAGGCTGCTTCCCCAATCAGCCTTTCCCCAGCCACAGCCCTCCCCAGGGCTGCTTTTAACCCCTCCGGGGAGGAGCGGGGTGACTTTCTCCAAGGGGCTGACGTATGCTATTGCAGTGGAATACAAACAGTGCTCCACTGTACTAGGTAGCACACTGTAGATGGGCTGAAGCGGCATGGTTACTAGTATATGGATCATGTGGGGCAGTCTTTGCACGGGATCTGGATTAGGGTTAGGTTGGAGTTCAGGATTTTGGCTGAAAGCTGACTTGGGAAGCCTCAAATGACAGCAAACTCATGAGATCAGCTTTCCCTAGTCTGTGCCAGTTCCAGAAAATGAGCCTCTTCAGTTTATGTACTTGACCCAGGCCTTAAACGAGAAGGGCTGGTTCAGATCTGATACCTCAGTCCTTAAAACACGGGGGATGAAGGTTTAGAATGTTAATGCTGGGGGAATTTTACGCATAGTATTTTAAAATTCTGCATATTTTATTTGTCAAAATAACACAATATAATCATTCCAGTTTCAATTATTTTGGTAATTTATTTCAAAATACCTGTCAACAAGTATGTCAACAATACAGACAACAGCAAAAAAAGATTTCCCTCAGGAGTAGAGAGTTAACTTAGGCTGCTCATTTCTCTGGCCTAGAGGGGCTTTGGAAAATATCCCTCTGACTTCTTTTCAAGAACCAGTTGCTCTCTAAAGGCTCACTGACTGGACCCAGTACATCCAGCAATTATCTAAGGCCTCCTCCTCTGAATTTCTGCCACTTCAACTTTATCTCTCACTGTTTTTGCTCTTTGGATTTCACTACCCACAGCTGTAAGCTACTTTTCTAGCTGGGAAGGCCATCATGCCTTCTTTCCTTAGGACTTCCTACAAATGTACTTGAGATCTAGACATGCGAGCACTAGACTGCATACCATGTGCGGTCTCCTCCAAGTGTCACATTTAGTTCTTGTACGTAAAAACTTCTAGTGTTGTGGATGGTTCTGTGGGTGCCTCTTTGGCTGCTGCTAACTCTATGGTTCTCTCAATGAGGAGCAGCAGCAGTTAATGCTATGATTTGTGTGGGGGGGGGGGGAATGGGGGCGGGGGGCACAGAGTTCCTGTACATGCACATCTAATACAATACAGGAACTTTAAGGTTAACTCCCCTTCCTGCCCCTCAGCAAGTTCTGCCCCAAAGTTGCATTCCAGAGAGATCTAGAAGAACTTCACTCCTGGTAAAAACATATGTAGTCAGGACAGGTCTTTGTCCCATCCAACTTCTGATGCCATGTGGTATTTTGATGATCAAATGAAATTTGACCAAAACTTTCAGTCCCAAATGGAGCATTTTCTTAGGCAGTAGCTTCCCTCCCTCCCCTATACAAGAGTGTTGGGTGTTTCCTTTGAATGGCAGAGTCTAGAACTGCTGGTGTTTGCACACATCCAACAATGCCTGCACCAGCACTCCACAGTGACCAATAAAAGCTTGAAAGTGTTTATCTATATGGAAAGTATGCCTCACTTACCTTCCCTGCATACCTTGCCACCGTGGAGCAGTCTGTGAGGAATGTGATTTTTAGCCCAGCCCTTACAGCTGATCTGGGTGGAGGGCGTCATTTTAGTGTAAACAAAGGACTGTGTGCAGGGATGTAGATAGAGTTGCCAGCCAGCAGGGGGCTTATGTAGCAAGGTACAACTTCTGTCTTCCTCAAAATCTCTGGATTCTGCACAGCTTGTAACTTCCCTTTACACGGGTGCACCCCTTTTGCTTGTTAAGTGATCCTAAAGGTTGAGTGAAAATAGTGAGTGAGCTGACCTATTAAAAAGCAAAAGGATACTAAATGAAAATCTCTCTGCAGCATGTGAATGCAATTTCCACTGCAACCTCATAGCATTGTTCTCATGAGACAACCGTTTGTGTGTGAAACTTGGGCACTTTTTGGAGGCTAAGGACAGAAAGCCCAGGGATCCTTCCACTATGTGGTTTATAATAGAACCTTCACTCAATACTAGTAGCTGAAAGCCCATGCTGTAATTTGTAAAGTCATGTGTTTAAAAAAAAAAGGCTGAGAACTTAGAAATTAGGCAGTTACAGACCACAAATCCCTGTAATGATTGCACCTGGTCATATTCTAAACAAAAATAGCTTTTAACCATTTTTGTAGCTGTTTCCATCACTTCACACTGAATCAACAGCCGCTCTAGGATTCAGAGTGACACATAGTGTGACGTTCTTGAAATCATATTATATAGAGAAATAGGGCGATCACTAATTCTAAATTTTAGCAGCTGCCTTCAGTTTGGTGCCTACTGTCCTTTGTAGTGTAGAATGCACTGTGTAGCCTGAGCTTTCACTGAAATATTTGTGCAGATCTCAGGGTGCCTTTGTATCGAGACTAAGACATTGCAGAATGATGTCCCTTTAAATAAATTATGCCCACTGTTTCTCATGAAGCTGGCCTCATGTTTCAGGAAAAGGGCTGTTCTAGTTTAAACTGCTCTTTAAGAAGCCAAGCAAAGGGATGGGACTGGTTGCATCAGAAGGCTGAATTTGCTGCAAGGATGGGCTTTGGTGCATTAATTTCTTAGCACCACCTTCTGGCTCTTGAAAAGGCTCCTACAGACTTCGCACTAGACTGGCACCTCTGCCCTTTCCTCTGATTGAAAGCTACCATGCACCAAGAGCCAAGTCTCAGGATCCTAGGTATAAATGCCAAGCAGCCGCTTGATCTGAGAAGCATCTCCTCTTCAGGGAGGTTTGGACTGTGGTGTGGAGAATGAATGGAGTGGGGAGAGCAAAACCTCTGTGGAAGTTTCCTTAAGAAATTTGGTCCTAATTACCATGGACTGGGAAGCAATCTCAGAATGGGAAGAGAATCTGCCTTGACAATTCCCTTTCCCATACCATACATCTTCTCATTCAGCCTGAGCTCTGGATTGTGAGAGGAGATTAGTCTGCATTAACAAGAAGGCATCATGTGTTTTGAACACTTTGCTGTATCTCCAGATTGCACACTGTCAGCGTTTCTGAGTCACTGGACTTGGTAAACAACATTACACACTTTTATGGGCCACCTCAGTTGGGCACGTGCACTGTTCTTCTGGAAAAAGTCAGTAATTAGAAGTATCAGGATTCAGACCTCATTGTCCAAGATTAGCCAATTTCAGATATTGGACAATGAAGAATAGTCCCCTTTTCAGCCTAAGCAAACAAGCCCACCTGACTAAATGGGGCTTGGCGCCATGGACAAATGATTGGAGTACAGTAGGGCAAGTGACAAAGCCATGCCATCTCCTTTGACAAGGAATAGGTGACTTAACTCACTTGGCTACCTACTGCTTTAAAAAGGTTTGTCTAGGCTTGAAGGAAAGCAGTACCAAGTTGCAGGTTTAAGAGCCTAGCCAAAAGGGCTTTAAAATGCTGTAACAGTGATGTAGGCCAGTAGAACATTAGGCTAAATTCTTTAGGCCAGGGGTTGGCAACCTGCGTGCCGCATGCATGCCAAAGACAGCAAGCGAGCTGATTTTTGATGGCACACTTCTGCCTGCCGGGGTCCTGGCCCCACTCAGCCCTCCCGCCCACCGATTTCTCCTGCGGGGGCGGGAGGCAGAAGCTTGGTCATGCTGGCAGCCAAGCTCCCCCCTCCCCCACTTCTTCCCCCAGCATGGTGCTTTCCTCTCCCTGCCGCCGATTAGCTGATCGCCCTTGCGAGGGGAAGGGGAAGCAGAGCCGAGCCGCAGCATGCTTGCTGCTCCAGGGAGGAGGCAGAGAAGAGGTGGGGACGGGGCATATCCCCTCCAGCCCCCTGCCGTGAGCATCCGCACGAGCCAAGCACCCCAGCCCCCTGTCCTGACCCCTGAACCCCCCCACACACACACCCAGCCTTCTGCCCTGACCCCTGCACCCCCTCACACACCTCCAGCCCCCGTTCTGACTCCTGCACCCCCCACAGATACCCAGCCCCGCCACACCCATGCCCTGACTCTTGCACCACCACCCCATATCCCCACCCCCACCCTGAGCACCAAACGGGAGCTCCTGCACGCGCGTGCGCACACACACACACACACCCATTCCCACCTGCACCCCCAGTCTGGGGTCCCTGCCCTGACCCCTGCACCCCCACACACACACATTCCCAGCCCTCTGTCCTGACCCCCCCCACAGCCCTCTGCCCTGACCCCTGCACACCCTCACACATCTCCAGCCCCTGTTCTGACTCTTGCACCCCCCACACATACCCAGCCCCCCC